CCCACTCCTACTAGAGAGCTCTTAACTCGTACGAAATACGCCCGTACTTCCTCAGTTAATCGCCGGCGGAGGGCCCGTTATAGGTGAACGTCAAATTCTCATAAAGCCATAACAATCGCATGACGTACATCATAGATACCGTGGTAGAAGCTTAGGACCTCTCCTTAAACGGTCAGGTTAGAGAAGTAGAGGACCGTCCAGGTAGGTGACAGAATATCAAAGGAAATAAAAATTTCCACGGTCTAGGGCCACCCACGTAGGCGGTATACATCAAAGGAAAAAGTTCCCTCGGTCTAGGACCACGCCCACACAGGTGGCATATATCAAAGGAAAAATTCCCACGGTCTAGGGCCACCTCGTGGGCGGCATACATCAAAGGAAAAAAAAGTTCCCACGGTCCCCAGAATTTTCCCACGCACAAGCGACCCAATACCTACTTACCTATCACATTCTTTAAACATGACGAATGACGAATTGACGATTCGATTAATCTTTCGCCCCTATACCCAGTTCTGACGATCGATTTGTACATCAGATAGTCCGAGCCGAAAGGGATCTTTTCTCAGCAAACATAAGAGTTACAAAGATTGATGGTCTTTGAATAGGTTTTGGAGTATGCTCTTTCCCATTTTGCAAAATTTTTTCAAAATATGAAATGCGAAAAAAAATTCTGATTTCGACTATAATATACAGGGTGGTGCCGAGCGCGACGCAGCATAGGGATTTCAATGGTAATTTCTTTATAATCCATTACTAGCTCCTCTAATTATTTTAGAGCAAAAGTCTAAATACGTTTTTTTTCAGAGAAAATAATACTGCATTTGTTCATACTATTATTCATAATTTTCTGTTTTTCAAAACCGTAGAAATCGACAAAATAAAACGGTTCGTTTTACAATAAATCAGAGATGCCTTAGAATTACCTAATTAAACCAGCGACTATCAGTTCTGCATGCCAGGATACGATTGTTGGAAAGTGTTTTGCATCTGGCGTATAAATTACCCGTAAGGAAATACAACGAAAAGAGAACCTCCGAAGAAAAAGAGTTGTAGGCGCTAACAAAAAAGCATATACAAGAAAAATTTCGTAAAGAAACTGGATTGCTGGTGGATATTCCGAAAGCTAATTTTGGGAATACCAATGATGGTAACACTAGCCGAAGATTCTTTGAAAACCCTGAGTTAGCTGCCGACATCACAAAAGTGGATTATGGATTAATATATAGATTTAAGGTTATACTAGAAGTGATATCCAGTGGACATAAAATAAATGTGCAACGATTTTGTGAGTACGCAAAGACCACTGCGAAACTATATGTGAAGTGAATTTGTATGGATGGCACCGAAAGACACCGACCATGCACAAACTTTTAATTCATGGTGGCGCAATCATTGAAAATGCTTTATTACCCATTGGGCAGTTATCCGAAGAGGCGACAGAAGCACGACATAAGCATTTTAGATTATACCTATATATCTAGATATTTACAACAGATTATTACTAAGCTCAGAACCACTACTAAGCAGCATGAAAAGAAAAAGATTCAAATCCGGATCTTATTGTCCTGAAACTATCAAAATGTTACTACCGGCTGACCCGAACACTACATCTGACATTTCAGACGTTGATGGGGTCTAGTTTTTTTTTTTTTTTAATTAATATTTGCTTTTGGAGATTACATATGTGTTTTTTTTCTTTCTTTCGGTTTTTGGTTGTGAAGAGTTTCTAGTTTTATAAATGGCAATCATTTACAATAAGACATTTTATGTCTAAGGCAAATAAACACATAAGATTTTTGACCGCCCTAAATGTTTCAAATCAACGTATGTGCAACGTGTATCCGCCATATTACGTTGACCCGTGCCTTCGCGATTTAATTTCGATCTGCTGTTATGTTATTAAAATTGTCTTGTGCTTTATGACTTTGTAGTTTTAGTTTTGTGTCTTTAGTTTGATAGTTTAGTGTATGGTTACTATAGAAACTTTTTACGTTCGTTCGAATAGGTTATACTTTGTGACTTTGATTACTTTCTAGTATTCCGATAAGTAACGCATCACATTGGTGTAGAATTTTGAAACTTGGTGTAGAGTACACGAAGAAGAAAAAAGTCTGCCCTTTGCATTTCGAAGATAACTGTTTTGACCGAACAGTAAGGTTAAGACAAAATGTTATTCCAACGCTTCTGTTATCAAAAATGATACCTTGCGACGCCGAAGTCATCATGTGCCCCAGATAGTTTCTCAGGTGTGCAGTCTTCTGATACAGAGCAAGAACTTAGTCACATTTTTATGCAACCATGTTCATCTCATTCTCCAAATAAAAGACCCAGGTTAGACCTTCGTATAGCAACCACATAAAAAATTATTGTTATATTTTTTAGAATTACGTTTAATGTAAACGCTCATCAACTTGTAGTCTGATCTCAATAGCTCGCAAACGAGCTCTTAAAGCAGCATTGGAACTGTAAAACGTCAAAGGTATGCATTCATTTTATGTTATAATTTATAAAGCGGGTTTCTTTTTAGCTGAAGCAGTTCAGTTAGTGAAAGAGAAAAGGCCAAAAGGAGTAAGTTTAGTATAAGCGCTCACAACTACTGGTAATTTATTTGTATTTCTGAACAACTTTTGCTGTTATGGAAACGTTTAAGGTAGTAAGTTCAACAATGTGTTCTTTGAGTCAATGATTTTATATGTTGGCTTAAGTTATACAACGATTTAATCAATTCGCAAACGCACTGCGCAGTGCATTTCTCTTTGGTTCATCCTTTAACTAACTGATGATCGTGTTCATATACCCATTACCTACCCATGACGCTAATTATGTAAGTAACTACAAGAGCATAAAAATTGTGTTTTTCATACGAGTGGTGTGTCTTGAAATCTCCACAAGAATCGTCATTTCATACAAAATAGGTAAGTAGACATGAATGAAGTATAATATGTTCTTAAGTTATGCGTCCGTTTATCATATGTAAAAAAAATGGATGACTTTGATGCCGACGTCTGCTCTGTTATCATTCAAATCGACAGCTAGTTTGTTTGTTTTCAGGGTGCTCTAAATACACAGAATAGCTGTGCGGTATGGCGCTAAAATGCTTTCAAGAACCATGGGACTTGGTTATGCATCATTGGATTGGAAAACAACTTTTCCCTTAAGGGTGTAATCCAGTAGTACAACATTAATTTATATTTCGTCTCAATTCTGTAAAACATGAGATGAAAGACGGGGCTAATTTTTTCCGTGTAAATTATACATTTAAAAAGTATGCTACAGAACAAAATTTTAATATTTGAGAAAAAATAATTTTTTAGAGCACTGCCAATAAAAAGTGAACTTTTATAGGTAAAATGGCGTCAACACAAATTATTTTAAAAATCTCCCTGTAGCATACTCAGAAAAACCATTAGCAAACCATAGAGCCATCGACCAACCTTTCACATAAATTACAAAAAATGTTAGACGAAATATTCATTCGAAATTTTTTACAAAACTTGTAGCGTTTAGTGAAGTCATTCACCATTTATAAATGTACAGTAGGCAACACATCATACGGCAGGCCTGACTTCAACAAAAAGAAACCGGATTCATTAGAACGTATTATAATTCCATAATATACTGGGTAATAGAATTCATACGGAAAATGTAATTTATTTTTGAGTGAATTAAAAGTTTGCGTCGTTTCTGACGTTTTTTGTAACACCCCTAAAATTTTAGTGTGAAAAAATGATTATTCCCATGTAGCATCCTTCGGAAAGAGATATAATTTGCGTAAAAAGCGTTAGTTCTCATTTATTTTGTGTTGTTTCCGAATTAGACGAAATTTTGTAACACCCCTAAAATTCAAAATCTTTTTTTGCTGCTTGCTGTCTTTGTTTTCTTTCAATTTTCTTGCTTTTTTTTCTTCTTTCTCATTTTTCTTTTGTTGTTCAACAATTAATTCGTCTTTATAAGGTGTACTTGTTAGAATGACCGTTCCCACACTTTTTCTCTTTCTGGTTCCTCTAGTGTTCTCTTTCATTTTGGGCAATGGATTTATTTCATCAGGAGGGATGTTAAAACTGGTTGACATAGAAGTTGAAGCAATTTGAATGTCGTTTTTAGTATTTGGTGTGACTTCATTCCTGCGCTTGATTTGGTGTTGCTCTTGAGGATCATCGACTTCGACATCGCCTTCTGGTACAGCTTCACAAGTTTGGTCTGAAGTCATCACGATGTCTTCTTCAGTGACTTCCGCTGCTGCAAAATCAATATCCGTGAATACATCAGGGTCGTATGGAACCAATCCAGTTTTCTTAAATCCATTTATCGCATTAGCAGGACTGCAAGCTTGAATGTAAGATTCATTAAAAATAGATGTAATTTGAAAAACTGTGACAACCCTTCCTGGGTAATTGTTGAGCCACTTTTCAAGAGCCTTATCGTGGTAATGATTCAACGGATACATAACTGAAACATCTAATGGCTGCAACCTATGAGTGCAGTGAGGAGGTAGGCAAATAATGGTAACAAAGCTTTCTCTTGCTTTTTCTATGACTAGTAAATTCTTGGTATGGGAAAGATGCCCGTCTAGTATCAAAAGTGCGGGGTCGCTTTTCGTTGGTTTCACATGACTTAAAAAGTGATCAAACCATTTACTAAAAACTTCAATCTTCATCCAACCAGACTCATTGCATTCAAATATTGTTCCAGGTGGTGAACCATCTTTCAACTCTTGCTTCATTCGCTGTCTAGAAAAAAATCAACATTGGGGGAACAAAATTGCCTCCCGCTGACATACAGATAACAGCAGTTGTTGAAACTCCTCGCTCAGCCGACACAACTCTACCGACTTGCTTTCTTCCCTTTTTTGCCAATATCTTGCAATTTTTTCCAGGGACCGTACTCACGTATGTTTCATCCACGTTGAATAACCTGTGGGGCTACCCGGCGTTTTATCCATTGCGGATTTTAACAGTGAAAAAAACTGGGCGGTTAAAAGCTCTAGCTCGGGCTGTGGATGTTGCTTCGGGTGCTCTTAACGAAATTTCAGGATGACGCATACGAAAACCAGTAAACCAATGTTTGCCAGCAAGTTGCGTTTTTGCTGAAAATGGATTTGGAATGCGGTTTTTAACGGCTAATTGGTACGCAATTGCCCGGATATCGTGAATGGTTAAGCCATACATTCTGGTTTCCATGTTCATTGCCAATTGAAGATCCTTTTACTTCTGTTAATCCAATCAATGGGAGTAAGTCAATTAGAATGTATTTTTAGGAGGTGCATTAGGAAGAAATATCAGAATATAAAATGGGGTCATCAAAATCAAAAACGCAGCAACAGGAGCTGGATGAAAACGAAGTTATAAATGCAAATTTTATAAATCAGGAGCAGACCATTCAGTTCAGCACTGACATGAAGGTTGCAGTGATTTTGGTTATCATTATGTTGGGTAAACTGTACAGTATCCACAAGAAAAATATGAAAAGGCCGATTAGTAGAAGAAACGCGGCATCTGTATCCCCCATACAGCAAGTCTAAGGAGAATGTGACTGTGAAAGGATTTTTCAGTAGAGGTATGCAGATTATACAAATAGCTCAATTAGTATATTTAAATAAAATAAGGTGTTAGTGGGGTAAAGGTAATTGCAACAAGAATATTATTGTTCAGTATAAAAGCTGAGTCGGTAGTAGGTCATAAAATAAAGATCTTTTCTTTATTCTGCTAACAGACTAATCCTTTACCTCATACCTGTACTCCTCGCAAAATAAACAGATTGAGAATTTCAAAGAAAATGTAGGTATTAGGGATTCTTGGAATCTAGGTGCAAGTCAACTTACATAAATATTCAAGAATCCATGACTATTGACTTTAGGTAATGGAATTTGAAAACTAGGCCGGGGCATTTACCCCTACTTAACCCCCGTATCGGCGCTCCTGCGGTAGGTTGGACAGTAGACACTATCCGTGGTCACTTGGTCAGTATGTCGGTTTTCAGTTTTGGATTTTGGGTATCTACTTGATATTTTAGCATAAAAAATAAAATGATTGAAACTCATTTTTTGGGAATAATACCTGTTGGAAGCGCATCAGCTGATTCATTATTTAAGTATATTGTAGACTATTTATTAGAAATTGGTTTAAATTTATCAAATCTAATAGGCCTTGGCACAGATGGAGCGAATAACCTTTGCGGTAACCGGTAAGCATTTTTACGTGGATGCATGCATAGCATATTTATTCATTTGCTATGGTGCCAATGAGACGTCCAACTGCAAATTAGAAGTAATATTCCGCACATTTTCTTTGTGTTGTGAAAGTGAAAGGCTTGCCAATATGAATCAAGGCGGAGAAAAGACTGTAATTGAAGCCATAAAAACGTTTGATTGTAATATCAGAATAATTAAGATCGACCAAAACAGTTATTCTGCGAACCAACATCCAAAGAGATATAGGTATTACTGCAAAAAATTGGATTAAAAACTTTTCTAAAGCCACTTGTACAGAGTGGATTGTAAACAGAACATATCCTAAAATTAAAAAAACTACAGTATCGAAAACATTGGGTTTGTCAGCATAATGCTAAAATTAAAGAAAGAAAAAAACAACGTTAGGGAAAGAAACAGGAACTGCGGTGCAAAAATCTTCTACATCCTTCTACATGGTTGCATTTTTACTGCATTTAATCATAATTTATTAAATATATATTTATTAGGTACCTATGTATCAAAATATTTTATCTATTATATCTATTAAAATGAAAATAAACAATTACAAATTAATATCTAGCTTCTTTTTATTACTGATATTACTAATGACCTGTCAGGCTTTTTGAGTATCACTCACGCACCGTTGCGCCCACTGTCTAGGAAACGGAGTATGTGGCACTCAGTACGTTTCCTAGCTGGTCAGCGCAACCGTTGCGTTCACGGTCTAGATCTGAGAAATGTTATAAAGCTAGGTTACTGAATGAAATGCTCAATGATGATACGAACTTGTTATACTTAAAAATTGTTAAACCCATATTGTATGAAATTAATCTTATAAACTTCACTTTTCAGAAAAATGAAGTTGATATTGGGACGGCTTATGATGATTTATGTAATACGATTATTACTGTAGATACTTAAACCTATTTTTATTCAGCAGGGTATCAACGAAATTGCACAGTGCGTAGATAATCCCTTGACTTATGTAACTTTAGACAGTGCCGATTTTGGTATTGAATATTACCAGGCAGGCGAAAATTGACGTTGAACAACAAAATCTTGTCAAACAAAGAGCTTATCAATTTATTAAAAAATTACTTTTTGAGTTGGTACAGAGATTGCCAATTTAGAAATTTAAAAAGGTTCTCTCCTTCTATTTGTCTAAGTCAAGTGCGACCCAAGTTTATAATCTTCCATTTGTGAATCAATTTGTTGAAAAGAATCATGCATTGTTAGAACTCCAGTGGCAGAAGTTATTAAATGTTGATTGGCTAGTTGTGTGTGGTAATTTAGTAATGCAAAACACTTTTCATTTTTGGTCACAGGTATATTTATTTCAAGATGCTAGCGGAACATTCGTTTTTCAAGAGCTGCTTTTGCATTAACTGTTTTATCTTTACCTTCCAGTAATACCTTTCCACAAGGCCAAGGGGTGGAAGCGGCCAGGTATACTCGGGCCTGGCTATTGGGGGGCAAACCCTTAGGCAGCTCCGCCAGCGGGTAATGCGGTGTTGATCCGAAGGATTTGACTACCGCATTGCCCAAGAGATGTACCTAATGATAGGCACCAACGATGTGAGAAGAGTAAGTATGCTCCATGAAATTACTTGGACGCCCTAATTTGATATAACGTTTTATTTTCAGAATAAGGATTTACGCGTTATGGAGCTAGAGTTGGTGCGCCTCCTATCATCGTTGAAGGCACAGGGTACAGCGCATTAATTTGTGCACTGTACCCTCCGTGTTTGCGGAGTGGACGGCTTCACAGCGCCGCACCTTAACAAAGTTTAATAATTGGATTCGGGCGTACAGAGATCGTAAGTAATTTAATTAAAGTATGTTAGACCCGTGTAGTTAGGCACCCGTCGGATGCGTCCCCGGGTGGCGGATAGGGGGATCTCCATACAGACACCTGTACGATAGTACGTGAGTCGTACTTCGGTGTGGGTAGTGACGATTATAACTGGCTCGTCGGGGCTAAAACCCAGACTGGTAGCGACGAATGTGGTCGCCGCGGACCAAGCTCCCTAAGTCAAGGTGTTAGCGGCCGTGCCGAGTGGTGGCTCCTTTTCTTTGGGAAGGGGCTGGCAGCCAACTCCTGGGCGAGCGAGTCTGCCCAGGTGAGACCGCACCTCCGCATTACTTGTGGGAATTGTATGGATAAACCTTCAAATAAAACCTTTTTGGGTTCATCGTCAGAGAGGACCAACAAGCCAGGCTCTTAAAATGGACCCGGTTCCAACGCAGGGCCTTATTCAAGGACCTGGTGGTAGGTCAGCTCCTATTCGCAAGAAGAACAGGACTGGCGTGCAGAAGGCTATGACCAGGAAGCGGCGGCTCGAGGGTAAAACCTCGGGTCAGCGGGCCCTGCGCCAAAGCCTAAGGCTGCCTCTGGGTCGATTTTTTTTATCAATGTTGGGTACCTAAAACCAACAATTACATATCGAATTATTGTATAAGAACTGATACCCGGCTCTTCTGCAGAAGCGCCTGGAGCCGCGCTCTTACACTTGTTGCACCTGTCTGACTTTAGAGTTTATCGCCGGAAACTGGAGGAAGGTAAGAATTGTGTACCTACCTAACCCGGGTCGTGCTAAATATGACATGGCGAAGGACTACAGGCCTACCAGCCTATCATCGTTTCTTCTAAAAACGATGGAGAAGCTGGTGGATGCATACATAAGGAATGGCGTACTAGTTAGTAGACCACTACATCTGTTCCAACATGCTTACAGGGTGTATGTCCACGGAGACAGCTCTACACAGCTTGGTGTGCAGGCTGGAAAAGGGAATGCCTTCCGAGGGGGAGGGGGGGGGGGAGCCCTAGGAGCGTTTTTGGATAACGAGGGTGCGTTTAACAACACCACGTTCGATTCAATTAGTGAGGCTGGTGAAAGCTTTGGCATTGATGGGTCAATCGTAAGATGGATCCGAACCATTCGGAAGCAGAATCACTATATCTACAATTGGGATGACGGAGATGAGCTCCACTACTGTGGTACGTAATACTAGTCGGGCTCCTGAACCCTGAACGAGGGGGAAACGTATACACAGGGATACGCGGACGATCGCGCAATCGTCATAACTGGAACTGACTCAGACAGTCCAAGGCTCCTTGGTAAATTGGGGTCTTCTAAGCTACTAAACCTAAATAGAAGCTGACTTTTGTTGTGTTTACATTCGGAACTTATGCGATTTTATAATTTAATTAAAAAAATAGCATGTGTATATAAACAATTAAAAAAAAATAACTTCAATATAAATAAAACTTGTCTTGTCATACAATTTCCTTTAAACGTTTAATTCCCACAAATACAATAAATTGGCGACGAGGGTGCGTGTGAATCAGGTGACTATGATACTGTGTTGCTCGGCAGCGGGATTTATGGGTACAGCCGAGAGGAGGTGAGGGGTTACTTATTTAGTTTTCGGAGTTTATTAATTGAGAGAAGAATCAGGCTTTATGTATGGTTGGGGGAGGACGAGCGAGGGTTCGAAGATTATGTAGACGATCAGGATGATAGGTCGGTTGCAACTAGTATAAGCGTTCAAGACGACGCAGAGCTTGAATCAGATGATACGACCCTGGATGATGTAAATGATAACACTACTTACTTGCAGGAATTTATGGCGGAGGGAGATATTAGGGATATTAACGATTACGCTATAGATGATTTAACGCCATCAGGTGAGAGCAGTCAAAGGTTAAGTGTATCTAATAGAGAAGTAGATGGAAAGATGTTGGAATCTATGACGGTTAATGATCGCCAGGCGAAGGATATGATGTCACGTCCGCAGGCGCCAGCATCATCACCTATTAATCTTGAGTTATTGAAGTTTTGTTTTGAATCCGGGGATTCAGACAAGAATGTATTTTGCGAGGTCAAAGAGTAATAATACCTAAAATTTTACAAAAACAAATTTTAGATGAGTTACACTCTGCACATTTTGGTATTTACAAAATGAAAGGTTTAGCCCGTAGTTATTGCTGGTGGCCTGGTATAGACAACGATATTGAAACGTTAGTAAAGAATTGTGCTAACTGCAATAAAATTAAGCATACATCTACAGTAGTACCAGTACATTCATGGGAAAGTGTAAATAAACCATTTCATCGTGTACATGTCGACTATGCAGGTCCATTTTATGGTCATTATTATTTTATTTTAGTTGATGCATATTCACGATGGCCCGAAGTTTATGTTACAAAAGATATGACTGCCAATACAACCATAAAAATATGCCGTGAAATATTTAGTCGTTTTGGCATACCGCGTGTAGTGGTGAGTGATAATGGCAGGAATGTTGTATCTTACGCTTTTGAAAGTTTTCTTAAACAAAACGGAATTAAACATAGTTTAAGTGCGCCATACCATCCTGCGACAAATGGGTTGGCAGAACGATATGTTCAAACATTAAAGCAATCATTACGCGCAATTAACGGTAATAGTTCTGATGTTGAAAAAGAATTATGTAGATTACTTTTACAATATCGCAAAATGTCTCATAGTATTACCAAACAATCACCTTCAATGTTAATGTTCGGACGTGAAATTACATCCCGATTGGATTTAATTAAACCCGATTTAAATAAAAATGCTACTGCAATTCGTAATAATATACCAGTTCGAGATTTCCAAATTAATGACAGAGTTGCTGTAAGAAACTATGCAAACGATATCAAATGGAAATTTGGAAATGTTGATAAAAAGTTAGGGAAATTACACTATCATGTTAAGCTTGATAATGGTAATGTTTGGAAGAGACACGTTGATCAGTTACGCAGAGTTGGGGTCCTTGGGGATGCTACTCCGCGAGACTCTCCTCAAAATGATGATATTCCTTATGACCCCTCTAACAATCATTCTGATGTTACAACTTTACCCGAAACTTTACCTGATCCAGAAATAAATACACCTACGTTGGACATAACGGCCAGTGTACCTACAAATGAAGAGAATACTTTACCGCAGCTACGCCGTTCTAACCGTGTACGTCGTCCTCCGGATCGTTTAAATTTATAAGTTGGGGAGGAGTTGTTGTGTTTACATTCGGAACTTATGCGATTTTATAATTTAATTAAAAAAATAGCATGTGTATATAAACAATTAAAAAAAAATAACTTCAATATAAATAAAACTTGTCTTGTCATACAATTTCCTTTAAACGTTTAATTCCTACAAATACAATAACTTTATTCCTAATCTGGATTAGGAAGATCACCGGTGTCCTTACGTAGCACTGGATGGTCAATTATCACCTGCATAACTGTGGTAAATAGACAATAATGTTCATAGGTTAACAAACCTCTAACTTGCATTTATACTTACAATTACACAATCAAACGGAAATGTATTTTATTGTTAACAAGTTAGTATTGATGAGTATGAATTAGATTGTCATAAGGTAACGACCAAGACTAAGCTGCGTAAGCGGCGTTTATTCAACTTTAATTAAATAAATATAGTTTAGGAGATGTGACTTTTATTGTTGGGTATCTCCCAACATCACATAACATTGGGTTCGCGGAGGAGTCCACGTGCAGTTTCTGTGGCGAGGCAGATGAAACTACCGAGCATGTGATGTGTCACTGTGACGCATTGATCAGGGACAGACATGAACTTCTTGGAGACAGCTATCTGGAACCGAGGAGAGTGAAGCAACTTAGGCTAAACAGGGTCCTATCCTTCATTGAGAGGAACGGGCTCTGAACTCAGTTGCAAAAGAAAGGAGGCACAATGGGCCTCTGGAGTGTCTAAGTGCTGCCCAGTCGGGCTCCTCTGCGAATAGAATAGAAAGTGTATTAGAAGTAAACAGTTAATATGTTTTTCTTATTGAATAGGCAGAGGTCGTAGTAGTGGACGTCCACAGCTTTATGGACAATCCCATCTATTTTGAAATTATACAATTGTTTACTATCTATTGCATGAGAGTCTGTGCGGTGGCATTGGATATTTAGCTTTCTTGCTTGGGCAATTATGTGACAGTGAAAGAGGGGCTTAGTATGTTCAATTCGAAATGCTTTTATTTCCGAAAGTTTACTTCATTTTTATATAAGCTTACCAGTTAAAACCCATTATTTCCCACTGTACTCATATGGGGACAGTGAAGAGAAAGGCATGTTAGCACCATCATCTTATTAATCTGTCAACTATAACAGTTTAATTTACTTACTTCGTACAGTTTTCGTCTCTTATGTTGATAAGCAGCTCATGTATATCAACGCGCGAGGGCGCTAGACGCATTGTTGTAACGAAAAATGACAGTCGGTTAAAACCTCGTGTATACCTGTTATTGAATATTCGGCCAAACGGTAACTGAAACATTTAGCGCCGTATATGAAGTTACAATATTGATTGTCTGGAGTGTAAGGGTGTGTGTTCAATTCATATTTTGACATAATCTGCAAAACCGCCAATCAGGTAAGGCCGATAACTATGGTGTACCCATTTGGGGACAATGGGATGAAGTATGTACTTCTAATAAAAGATATGTTACGGATTATTTCTTATCTGGCTTTCCTTCTCCTTTTAGTTAGTTATGGACCCGGATCCATACCCAGAAATACCCACATGCAACTTTTATGGGAAAAGATATCGTAACCTTCAAGCTGCCTTGGAAAATGTCGCTGCGACTGATACTCAAGATGAAGTTGATATCGTTATTAGTCCCCCTGACGCAGATCCTCAAACGGATCAAGAGGACTTTGACGAACATAATTTAGAAGAAGCTGGAGATATCTTTCCTAATGACGTAACCGGTGAAGTTGAGTTGCACCATATACATATTGTCAATCCCTGGAGGATTTTCCAAATAG